TGCATCCCAGGGCGTGTGTGCAGCTCTTGGGGGCTTTTCCCCGAAGAGGAAGAAGGGATTGACGGGCTGCCCTTCTCCCTCCTCGGGGAAAGCCAGCAAGAACCGTATTTTTTGCTCCTTAAGACGCACATTTTCCCTCCTAAAAAGGAAGGGGAAATGTTGTGTGCGTCTTATGGAGCAAAAGTACAGTACATACATACATACATACATACATAATATATATATGCACACACACAGTGGAACCTCGGTTTCCGAACATAATCCATTCTAGAAGACTGTTCTGAAAGCGGGAGCCTCAACACAATAGGGAAACTCAAAGTGGAAGCCACATACGACAATGGAGACATTCGACAACCAAGGTTCCATTGTATATACCATTTGTTTTAACTCTTACGTTTTACAATTCAAAATACTCCTTTTTACATGCTCAAGATATCGATGATCCTCTCCTTCCACGGTTCATTTTACGTATCATAAACCCCTGCATATTTCACAAAAACTAAACCATTCAGTATTCCATTATTGCACCCATCAAAGCTTATTTACACTGCTGAATTTATCTTAACGCTGCCAACGTTTTCGGTGTACGCTTATTTTTAAGCATTTCCCCTGAGAGCAAAGGGAAGCGCTGCAGCCACTGTGGACAGAGGGCCGGGTGGGCGATTTGGGTTAAGGCTCCTATTCAACTGGACCTTTGTTCGGAGTCATGAAGACTAGAACACCGGTTTGTTTTAGGTCTCTGGAGGCACACACATATTTTATTAAATTTTCTGTTTAGCAATTTGAAACACAAATCATTTTAACATCCTTCAAAGATCGATGACTTCCCTCCTGCTCCTTCCATGGTTCGTTTTGCACATCATAAATCCCTGCCCATTTTACATAAACTAAACCATTTGGTATTCCATGATTGCATCCACCCAAGCTACACTGTTTAATTTATCTTAATGCTGCAAGCTTTTTCAAATATACAGTTTCCCCTATAAATTCAATAAACGTCTTCCAATCTCCTCTAAATGTTAAGTTCTTATTGTTCTCTCAGTCTGCAAGCTGCGAATATTCTGTCAGCTTAAGCGGCGTTGTTTCTCAAACTTGGGGGTCGCCAGCCCTTGCCGGACTACAACTCCCACCGTTCCGATCTAGAAGGACCGGTGGGCAGGGGATGATGGGGGTTGTAGTCTATAACAGCTGGGGACCCCAAGTTGGAGGAAACACTCGCCTGGCAGTTGCAGATCCTTTACAGCAGGCACCCCCAAACTCGGCTCTCCAGATGTTTGGGGACTGCAACTCCCATCATCCCTAGCTAAGAGGACCGGTGGTCAGGGATGATGGGAACTGTAGTCCCAGAACATCTGGAGGGCCGAGTTGGGGAGTGACTGCTTTACAGGATCCCAGATGAGTTCGGAAGAGCGAGAGCCCACAACCCACCCCCCTTTCCCCCAGACCCCAAACTCACCCCACGGCGTCGGCACTGGCGTGGCTTCACCACGTTCTTGGTCACCTTGTGGCCCTTGTTCAGGCCCACGGCCATTGGGTAGCGGATCGCCATGGCTAGAGAGAGAAAGAAAGGAAGGTTGTTATTCCCACATCTACACTCACCGTACAACAACCCTGTGAGGCAGGCGAGGCCAAGGCCACCCTTTGGGGCTGAGCAAGGATTTGAAGGTGGTTCTAATTGCATTCTCCAAATGAGGAGTGCCATAGTTACGGACAGGTAACCAGTGGAACTCCTTGCCACAGGAGCCAGTGACGGCCGTAGCCTTAGGGGGCTCCCAAAGAGGATTATTGTAATTATTTATTGGATTTAAATACCGCCCTATACCTGGGGGTCTCGGGGCAGAATAAAATCAAGATCTAAAACCGCAAAATCCATAATAAAAACACATTCAGAGAGGAAGAGGCGGTGAGCAATGATGGCTCCTAGCTGTGCGGCTGAAGAATACCAGAAGCCACGGCGAGGGAGCGTTTCTCAAACAAGGATTCTTGCCTGACTACAACTCCCATCTCATCCCTAGCCAGCAGGACCAGTGGTCAGCGACCGACTGACCAACTCCAAATCTTTTATTATGGCCACAGCGAAGCATGAAAGCACACAGAACATGACAATCAAACCTTCGGTGGCACATGTGTCAATCCTAGCAGCACAAGACCTGGCCACTGAATATGTCAGAGTTCAGGGATGATGGGATTTGTAGTCCAACAGCCGCTGGGGACCCCCGTTTGAGAAGCATGGCTTTGGGGCAACTGGGTGACCCTTTGGACTAAATATTATCTGTGCCTTTCCCCTCTCGTCCCCTTTTAAAGCCATCTAGGCCTGTGACAGCCACATACTTTGTGGCAAGGAGTTCCATAGGGCATAGTCATTTCTTCCTCTTTATTCCCCAATTAATTATTTGATTTTCCACATTAAAATTTACAATCACACCACAACATACTATATAAAAATAAGATTCCCAATAATCTCCTACACTTCTCTCCTGGGAGGGGTCTTATTGTTAACCCTTTCCTTCTGCATCTTTTACAACAATCCAAATTTTTATATCTCTCTTACAGTGGGGGGGGGGGAGTATTTGATCCCCTGCTAAATTTGCCTGTTTGCCCCCTGACAAAGAAATGCCCAGTCCATAATTTTAATGGTAGGTTTGTTGTAGCTGTGAGAGGCAGAATAACAACAGGGGGGAAACCCAGAAGACAAAAGCCAGAGACTCATGTGCGTTATAATGCGTGAAATAAGTATTTGATCCCCTATCAACCAGTATCTTCACGGTATGTAACGAGCTGAGATCAGAAGCACCTGCTGTAAGGGAGAGGTCTTGCCCGTCATCCCAGCTCGTTACAGTACCAAAAGACACCTGTCGACAGAAGCAAGCGATCACACCAGAGCATGGAAAATGGGTTATGGGTTGAGGGTAGGAATTCCAGCATGAAAATGACCCAAAACACACGGCCAAGGCAACAAAGGAGTGGCTCAAGAGGAAGCACATTAAGGTCCTGGAGTGGCCAAGCCAGTCTCCAGACCTTAATCCCTTCAAAAATCTGTGGAGGGAGCTGAAGGTTTGAGTAGCGACACATCAGCCTCGAAATCCTACTGACTTGGAGAGGATCTGCAAAGAGGAGTGGGACGAAATACCTCCTGAGATGTGTGCAAACCTGGTGGCCACCGACAAGAAACGTCTGAAATTGCCCACAAGGGTTTTGCCACCAAGTACTAAGTCATCTTTTGCAAAGGGAGCGCATACACCCGAGCAGGAATAAAGATAACAATTACAATAATAACTATAATAAAAATAATAAAATAATATTGTTTGTTGCACCCCCCTGATAAGAATGGTAAGGTCTCAAATGTAGAATAAAACGTTCATAAATGTACCAGGCAAACACATAAGTATAGAAACCACGTGTACAGGAGAGCAACTCTCCCAAGTTGACCTCAACTCTTTCTCTGCAAGGAGGAAGGAAAGGGGAATAATAATAAGTGTCTTTCCATTTGGACTGTAGGGGCTGCTTACCCCTCCCTTTCAAAATACCGCCTGGCAAGTATCTGTTCAGCTGAGCAAACTACCAAGATGCGCAAGAGATTCAGGAACTAATATTTACCATCTCCAAGGAATGGCCAGGCTACCCAGAAAATCCAACTGAGTAAGGCATAATTACCATTATTAGAAAAGTCTGGGATCACAGGCAAGACCTTGCAGCAGGTGCTTCTAATCTCAGCTCGTTACAGACAGTGAAAAGACCAGATCAAATACTTATTTCACTCCTTAGAATGCACATCCATCTCTGACTTTTGTCTTCTGGGGTTTTTCCTGTCGTTATTCTGTCTCTCACAGCTACAACAAGCCTACCATTAAAATTATGGACTGGTCAATTCTTCCCCAGGGGGCAAATTTAGCAGGGGATCAAATACTAAGTGAAATTGCAATCCCACTAACGACTGGAACAGTTCGGAATGGGATGGGATATACACAGAGTCTACGTAAAAGAACATTGCCAAAAGATCAATCCATTGGTTGAGCTTCGATGTGCAATTAGGCTATTTTTATAAAATAAAACTGACAGTAAGTCAAATCACATGGAGAAACTAAAGTCTGAGCGGGTATTTAAGGAATTTGATTCGGGAACAAAAGGGGAAGATCGGAAGCCTTGTAAAAAACTTAATCACAAATGAATACACAAAGCAAGTAAATAATAATAATAATAATAATAATAATTATTATTTATACTCCCGCCCCCATCTGGCTGGGCTTCCCCAGCCACGCTGGGCAGTTTTCCAAAAAAATATTAAAACACTGTAACACATCGAACATTAAAAGCTTCAGATGTTTTCTAAAAATATGAATAATTGCTTATTTTTTTACATCTCACTTTGCCTATTGTACTTTTCTGCTATAAAGTTTTCAACCAATAAAGCATATATATATATATATATTTTAAAGGAGATTTTCACGATGGTTTTTTTTAAGATAAACTTACAAATTGCCCCAGTTCCTTATTAAAGTTTTGGCCCTGCAGATTTCTGATTTTTCGGGTCTTTTTGGCCCTTTCGGCGTAATCCGCCCCCCATTTCATTCGGGGGGGGGGGCGCCAACTCCCATCATGCTCCGGGGCCCCGCTCTGCCTCCATCCAGGGCCTAGCAGGGTCTCCATGGGGCCCAGCCTGGAAGGGGCGCCCCATCGGGAGCCGCCTCCCTCCGCCCCGCCTCGGCCGGGGCCCCCTCGCGTCCCCCGGCCTCCCCTCCGCCATTCCCACCCGCCCGCCCGCCCGCCCGCCGCCCCGCAACGGAGGATGGCCGCGGATTCTCCCTCGCCGCCCCGGCGGAGCTCACCTGCCGCCGCTGCTGCCTCGTCCAGGTCCCGCCGGAAAAAGGAACGCCGGAAGTGGAGGACGCGGCTATGTGCGCTTGCGCGACGGAGCCCCGCCGGAAATGGAGCAAACCATAGAGACGCCGCTTCCCAGAGAGGCCGGATGGGATTGTCCCGACCCGGAAGTTGTCGTTTCCGGCTCTGAGACGGCGATGGCGGCGGCGGCGGCGATGCCGGTTCCCCGCGCGGAGCTGAAGCTGGTGCGGCTGCTGAGCCGCTGCGAGGCGCTGGCGGCCGACCGGCGCGGGCCGGACGAGTGGCGCCTGGAGAAGGTCCGTGCGCGGCGAGGGGCGGGGACCCACAATGCACGGCGGGGTCGCCATGGGAACGGGGGCCCGCCCCCTTGGGGCAGCCGCCTGCCAGGCCGGCATCCGGCAGGGGCAGCTTTTCCTGCAAAGAGCAGCAGCACCGGTGGGCCGCCTGGCCTGCGTCTATTATCAGATTTTGGGGTTTTAAAAAAATAATAATATGCAATTTCATATACTCTCAGGATTATAAGAATTAAAAATAACAATTATAAATACTGTCACTTGCTAAAAGAATTAAAAAATCTTACCTTTATTATAAACAACTTCAAATCCAGTAAGTCTGAGGATCACTTAAATGGCTCAACGTAAATTTACAAGTAGACGCGCATTATTTACAAACAGTCTTTGCAATTATTATCAGCAATTGTGCTTTATTATTTACTAATTTTTATGCTGCCCCATTGCTCAAAAAAAGTTCATGGAGCAGCTTAGCAGCTTAGGGGACGCGGGTGGCGCTGTGGGTAAAAGCCTCAGCGCCTAGGGCTTGCCGATCGAAAGGTCGGTGGTTCGAATCCCCGCGGCGGGGTGCGCTCCCGTTGCTCGGTCCCAGCGCCTGCCAACCTAGCAGTTCGAAAGCACCCCTTAAGTGCAAGTAGATAAATAGGGACCGCTTACTAGCGGGAAGGTAAACGGCGTTTCCGTGTGCTGCGCTGGCTCGCCAGATGCAGCTTGTCACGCTGGCCACGTGACCCGGAAGTGTCTCCGGACAGCGCTGGCCCCCGGCCTCTAGAGTGAGATGGGCGCACAACCCTAGAGTCTGGCAAGACTGGCCCGTACCGGCAGGGGTACCTTTACCTTTACCTTTTATGCTGCCCCGTTGCTCAAAAAAAGTTCATGGAGCAGCTCAGCAATGAGTATTTTTTTTAAAAAAAATTAAGTACAAATTAAAACGTAAAGGCACAAGATCAAAGGCAACAGAAATATGTGAAAGGAGCGGGGAAATGCCACAGCGCAAATTTAACAGCAGAGTTTGCATCAAAGGCCCTGAGAGCCTTCAGACAGCTCCCCCCAATTTTGTTTCCAATGGGTGGTGATGTTTGAAACAGTTGTGAATGTTTGCACTGGCCCAGGTTCTCCCAGCTTGGTCCCCTGGTTGATGCAGCTCAAAAGGGTCCTTTTTTGCTTTTTGTTTCTTTATTTGCTACTCATTTTATTATTAATCTTCTTCCACGCACATCTCAAGGTCGATGTGCAAAATAAGTAAACAAATAGCTTCAGCAACAGTTAAATGTCATGCAAAAAAATAACAGCAGGTCCATTTAAGAAAAATTCAAAATCGATATCCCTTGGCAGAGACCTTGTCACGCGGCTGGGAAAACGTGTGTCTTCTGTTGTTTCTCAGCAGGCACATTAAACTATTGGTTCTGCCCCCTGAACCACCATTTCCCACGTGGCTCCAGCTGATATTTTGAAGTTCTTAGGTCGGTGTAACAGATGCAGGGAATCTGAAAATGCAAAGAAAATCTCCGGGGTCATATTGTGGCAAAAATGTAGCACTCGCAGGCAACTGTTTCCCAGTTGTTGGTGTTTATACAGTGGTGCCTCGCAAGACAAAATTAATCCGTTCCGCGAGTCTCTTCGTCTTGCGGTTTTTTCGTCTTGCGAAGCATGGCTATTAGCGGCTTAGTGGCTATTAACGGCTTAGCAGCTTAGCGGCTATTAATGGCTTAGCGGCTTTAAGAAAAAGGAAACAAACTCGCAAGACGTTTCGTCTTGCGAAGCAAGCCCATAGGGAAATTCGTCTTGCGGAACGACTCAAAAAACGGAAAACCCTTTCATCTAGCGAGTTTTTCGTCTTGCGAGGCATTCGTCTTGCGGGGCACCACTGTACTCCATTTTTAAAGATTTGCCTTGAGAGAGTCTTTAAACCTCTTTTGTTGACCACCAGCATTACGCCTTCCATTTTAAGTTCCTTTTGGGGGTTGGGTCTTGGTGGCGCCCCTAACCACAAGGTTGTCATTTCAGAAGGTTTTTGGAGCGTTGGCAACCTTCCGGCCGTGCAAGGCGATCTCACGGGATGTCCTGCCACCTGCCACCCGGTCGCCACTGGGTGTCGCCCTCGGCCTAATGGGGCTGTGTTCCAGCTTTGCCTTGGGAGGACCTTGACAGAGCGAGCCTCTCCGCCCCCCCCCCATCATGATCAAGCTGCCACGTCATGTCATGGGTCCGTTCAGAGCCAGAGGGTTGCTGTGTCCTCGTGGTCTCCCTCCTGTTAGAGTCAGGGAACGTCGCTTAAGTCATAACGCTCTGCTAGGAAGAGAGGTTGCTGCTGCTGCTGCTGCTACAGTCAAATCCTGCTTCCAGTTGCAACTGGAACTGGTGCAAACTGGTGCATGTAGCCAGTCACTGGGAGGACAGGAGGCTGGACCAGGTGGGCCCCCTTTGGCCTGATGCCCCCCCTTTGCTTTTTGAAATATTTTTTGGTTTTACAAAATAAACCACACAGTTATCCCAGTTTTGAAATAAATTATCCCAATTTTGAAATAAAACAAGATTCTTCCGAATCTTTTTTTTAAAAATACAGTATTTATTAAATTTCCATTTTACAGTGGTACCTCGGGTTGCAGACCCTTCAGGTTACAGACGCTTCAGGTTACAGACTCCGCTAACCCAGAAATAGTACCTCGGGTTAAGAACTTTGCTTCAGGATGAGAACAGAAATCGTGCTCCGACGGCATGGCAGCAGCAGGAGGCCCCATTAGCTAAAGTGGTGCTTCAGGTTAAGAACAGTTTCAGGTTAAGAACGGACCTCCGGAACGAATTAAGTACTTAACCCGAGGTACCACTGTATATTATTACAATACCATAACATTTTTCAATGATATTGATTCAATTGAAATGTTGACCTCCTTCTCTCCCAACTCGTGGTTACCTGAATTTTATTTTTTTTAAATCTTTTAGCATTTGTACATTTTCCTCCTTACTTCTCTGTGAAGAAGTGCGGCCACGAAAAGCCCCTTTCAACTGCCCTAAATAGGTTACTTGAAGGCGGGTTTCTGTGGCACCTCCAAACCGAATGTCTTCCTGGGCTGCCCCTTCGCTTGAAGGCGGCTCTGGCCCAGTGTTGCTCACACCAGTTCCCTCTCTTTCCTTCCCAGTACGTCTCTGCCCTGGAAGAGATGCTCCTTGACCTCAAGAAACACTCCAGGTGAGTTCCTTTCCCTGGTGGGATCTGCAGAGGTCTCAGAACCATAGAATTCTGCAGGGCAGAAATCGCAACGAAAGCTTCCAATCTCTGCTTAAACACCTCCAAGAAAGGAGAGTCTGAGGGACTCCCTTCCCCTTTCGAACAGCTCTTGCCTTCAGAAAGTTCCTCCTGGTGTTTAGTCGGAATCCCCTTTCTTGGAACTTGAAGGCCTGGGTTCGAGTCCTCCCCTCCAGAGCAGAAGAAAACCAGGCTTGCTCCGTCTCCCATGCGACACAGCCCTTCAGATATCTCCTCTCAGCCTCCTCTTCTCCAGGCTGAACACTCCCAACTTCTTCAACCGTTCCTTGTAAGGCTTGGGTCTCCAGACCCTTGATCGTCTTGGTCGCCCTCCTCTGAACGCCCTCCGGCTTGTCAATACCCTCTGGAGGTACCCAGAACTGAACTCAGGACTCCAGGTGGGGTCTGACCAAGGCAGAATGGAGCGGTACTATGGCTTTCCTTGATCTGGACACTAGACTTCTCTTGAGGCAGCCTAGAACAGCACTCACCTTTTCTGCTGCTGCATCACACAGTTGACCTCAAGGGCCTTCTCCAGACTCTTCGCAAAACAGATGTAGCAACAGAGGAAAATGCTTTCTGCCATGTCAGACCATTGGCTAACCTAGCCCAATACTGTCTGCACTGACTGGCAGAAGCTCTCCAGGGTTTCAGGCGGGGGGAGAGCAGGGATGCCAGAGACCAGGCGGTCCACCGGCCTGATCCGGCCGCTTTCCTTAACGTCCCAATGTTCCCCTTTCAGCAAACCTGCTCCCGAGGTGCTGAACGAATATTCCCGCAAGGTGGATTTCCTGAAGGGGCTGCTGGAAGCAGACAAGCTGGTAAGGCCCGTTGTGTGTGGACTTCCTTCGTGGTGGGCCTTCTCCCCGACAGCAGAAGGCCGGGCTGCATCGTCGTGTTGTAAACAAAAATTGCCCTTCTTCCCTTATGGGGTATCCAAGAGCCCATATAGAGTCCTTACATAGGTTCCCTATTGGTAGGAGAAGATAACAGAGGCCAACCAGAGAATACTGAGAAGCAAAACAGCTAGTAAGCTTGATCTTTATTGATCTGTTGCAACAGGGTGCTCCCCTCACCCCCAGGAGAGAGGAGGGACCCAGAAAAATGGTGTGCAAGGCCTTATAAAGACTTTTGAAATTGCCACCTTGTAGATCAAGACCACCCCCAGAAACATCATACATACATCACAGAAGGGGTGTAACCTAAGACCACCCCTCAGATACATCACACCTACATCACAACGAAGGCGGTCTAAAACAGAACATTTGAATGTTGTTTGTTGTTTATCTCCTGTCTGGCAGGTTACTTGATTGGATTTCCTGGGGAGCCTGGCCATTCTTTTGTAGTGATAAATACTTAGTTCCTGGGCCAGGTCACAGGCTCACACCCTATTCAAACACAGACATACCCTGAAGACAGGATTTGTGAAGGAAAAGACAATGGGGAGGTTTCCCACTTTGACCTTGCAGAGAAAACATTGGCTCAGTTTAGGAATCAAAATGGTTCCAGGTCGGTCTTCCTGTGCTGATCTATGTACATGCTTGGTTGCTACGCTTATGAACATTACCATATATCTAAGACCATAAAATTCCTATCACAGTCGCAAGCCCCTTTCTCCCTCCCGGTCTCTCTCTCTCTTTTCCTCCGCAGTCGTCGTCTTCCGAAAAGGCCCTGGCCAACCAGTTCCTGGCCCCCGGGAGGACCCCAACCACCACCAAGGAGAGGACGCCAGCCACCAAGACGGTGCATCTGCAGACCAAGGCCCGCTACACGGGAGAGATGAGGAATGAGCTTCTTGGTACAGTTATGTTTCTCCGGCCAAGGCTGGCGGCGGCGGCTCCTATCAGCGCTTCCCCCTGGGGCGGTCGCTTGGGCTCGCTGCTTCCTTCACCTCGGCTCTGGCTCTCTGTGTGCGCACCTGTTTCCATGTGGGGACTCCCCTGATGGCATCTTCCGTCTCTAGGGACAGGCCAAGTTCGGGGCGGGGGAATCCTTTTGTGCCACAGGCACCGGAAACCAGGGTTAGCTACATCAGCTGGGTGCCAAATGGCTCCCAAACCGAGGTTGCAGTCGGCAAAACAGATACAGTCGGACCTCGGTTGTCGAACTTACATCTGTTCTGGGAGTCGAAATGGTTTGAAAACTGAGGCAGGGCTTCTGATCGGCTGCAGGAGCTTCCTGCGCTCAATCGGAAGCCGTGTCGGATGTTCGGCTTCCGAAAAGCGTTCACAAACCGGAGCACTCGCTTCCTGGTTTGCGGCATCCGGCAGCCAAAACGTCCGACTCGCAAGGCGTCTGGGATCCAAGGTACGACTGTATCTGGTTGCCATTTTGGGGCAAGTCTTACTTTGCAAAGGATGGGCTGGCTGTGGTTGATTCCCAGTTAAATATCTGGCTAGTAAGGAACCTTGAGCCGGGTTAAGAGGTTTGAGAACTTGGAAGAAGGAAAGTCACTTAATTCAGGGATTGTCCACCAAGCCGAAGAGCTAAAGGCAGCTGCGAGCAGAGCCAGAGAGAGGTGTGGCCTGGGGAGTGTCGCAGGGGCCGGGTAGAGATGTTCAGAGGGCCACGTGGAGCCTGACATTCCCTGTTCCTGGGCAAATGTAGTTCCTCAGCCTACGAGGAGGCATGAGGCGTCCAAAGGCCCCAATACCCCCGACCCCAATTCCCCCCTATCACTGAACGCGCTCTCTCTCTTCCTCCCCATCTTTCTGCTTCGCCAGGACCCCTCGCGCCTCCCTGGTAAGTGTCTGCTCAGATCCATGCGTACAAAAGCGCTTCAGAAGGCGCCTTTGTGTCTTTTTGAGGAATCAACTTCGCCCATTTGGGAGATCCGTTTTTATTTCTGGCGGAACTGCTTTCTCCTCCTCCTCGAGTTCATTTGGGGCTTGTCGAACCGGTTTTCTCGAGGTGGGAGAATTGTAGAGTCAGAAGGGCCTCAGTTCAGTTGTGTCTATTGATTTCAATGGGTCTCCTCTGAGTAGGACCCTGTATCATCCCATCCTTTGGGCGCTCGCTGTTTCTGGCCGTCTGTCAGCCCTTGGGGGTCCCTGTCACCCCTTCCCCTGCCCGCCTGCCATTACTTTTGGGGCGCTGTGCCTCCACCCTTCCTTCTTTACCCCTGTCCGCCTGCAGGTCGCCTTCTGCTGGCCTCTGGCCTTTCCTTTGCACCTCTCCCCCAGCTGACGAACACAGACAAAACCTTTTCCTCCTTCCTTCCCCAGATCTGGAGGAGACGAGCCTGAGAAAACGCACGTGAGTGTCTCGAGGGGCTTTTGCTCTGGGGCAGCGTGACTCAGAAGACGTCCTTTGTTCTATTTGGGGAGGCCGGGTTTTGGTGGGGGGCAGGAAGGGGAGGGTGGGGCTATCCTGGCTTGCTCTGCCAGGAACACAAAATGTGTGCCAATCCGGGGGGGGGGGTAGGCAGTTGCACAATGTGGGCCTTGGGCTGGAAGAAGGGTCTTCTATCCTTTGACCTGGGATGTAGGAGAAGTTCCAAAAAAACCTCAACAACTTTGGCTTCATCCAGCGACAGTGGGTAGATCAAATCACTGCCAGTTTTTTAATACTGTGAGTAGATCACAGTCGATTGGGAGTTGGGCGTCCCTTTACTATATAATAAAAAGGTACGGATGTCGTCACGCTGCTGTTCACTTGGTCACAGGCAGGTGGTGCTGTGCAGTACAGCTTGAAGGAGAGAGCTGTTGGGCGGGTGGTCCAGGCAAGCAATGGGGAGCCAGTGCAGGCTGCAGCAGGCCCCCTCCCCAGACCCACTGGCTCCTGCCAGCCCCGGGTCCCCTGTCTCTGGGATTGTTGTGGGGAGGAGTAGGTGTGCCTGGCAAGCGAAGTGACCAGTGGCACAGCCCTGAGCGCAAATGTAAGGAGGGCTCTCTCTCTCTCTCTCTCTCTGTGTTGATACACCCCAGGGGCCCCCTCCCAGACGAGAAGCAGTCGGCCGCCGAGCTGGACGCCGTCCTCCAGCACCACCACAGCATCCAGGAGAAGCTGGCCGAGGAGATGCTCCACCTGGCGCGCAACCTCAAGAACAACACTCTGGTGGCGCAGAACGTGATCAAGCAAGACAACCAGGTGAGGCGGGTACTCAAGAGACGGAGGGGGGAGCATGGCTTGTGGATACCCCTGCCTGCCCCCTTGCCCCCAGTTGCACATGTTGTAACTCAGTGTTTCCACGCAGACTCTGTCCCACTCGCTCAAGCTGGCCGACCACAACTTTGAGAAGCTGAAGGACGAGTCGGACCGCCTGGAGCAGCACGCCAAGAAGTCCGTCAACTGGTTCCTCTGGCTGATGCTCATCGTCGTCTGCTTCATCTTCATCAGCATGATCCTCTTCATCCGCATCTTCCCCAAGCTCAGGTGATTCCTCAGGCCGCAGGCGGCTACCTGGCGACTCCTCGGTTTGCCTCACGCCGTTGCCCACAAAGTCCAAGGCCTCCTGGTGCTTCTCTGATGGAGTCTCTGAAGACACTCGCTGGAAGGGAGCTCCTGGCGCTTCCCTGACTGAGTCTCTGAAGACACTCGCTGGAAGGGAGCTCCTGGCGCTTCCCTGATGGAGTCTCTGAAGACACTTGCTGGAAAGGAGCTCCTGGCGCTTCCCTGACTGAGTCTCTGAAGACACTCGCTGGAAGGGAGCTCCTGGCGCTTCCCTGACTGAGTCTCTGAAGACACTTGCTGGAAGGGAGCTCCTGGCGCTTCCTGACTGAGTCTCTGAAGACACTTGCTGGAAGGGAGCTCCTGGCGCTTCTCTGACGGAGTCTCTGAAGACACTCGCTGGAAGGGAGCTCCTGGCGCTTCTCTGACGGAGTCTCTGAAGACACGCAGAGGCGGAGTTGCCAGACCAGGCCCAGTCTCTGTTGCATGCGGGGGGCAGTGGGGAATCCGACAGGAACATTTCTTCTTCCTCCTGACTGCTACCTTTCCACCTGCAGGGAGCCGAGTCCCTGTTTGGATGAGGGTGACCATTCTGTCATCGTGTAAAGCCCCCTGTATCCCCCCCAAAAAAAGTGCACCTTCACAGCTCAGCTACCATTTGGGGACGGCCTGGAAGGAGGAATACGAGGCCGTTGGGGTTTCGTTTACCTCTAACGAGGTTCTGCCGCCTGTAGAGGAAAACCAGGACTCTGGGGCTGGGGGATTCTTGGCCGACGAGTTGGGGCAGGTTGGTGGGCGGGGGGGGGGGGGGAGAGAAATCACCTATCCTGTTCTTCTCCCCCCAAAGCCCCAGGTCCTAAACATTCAGGTGTAAGGACTCCGCCAGCTTTCGCTCTGCTTTCCCAGCCCAAAAGGAAAAGACAACTTTGGGGGGGGGGTTGGCCACAGTTCTTACGTCTGGGGTTAGACTGCATGTGCCACAGCGACAGCAGGGGGAACGAAGGGAAGAGGGCTGCCGGAGGCACCTCCCCATTTCAAGAGCAAAGGCGCCCCCACCTCGCAGCGGCGGTGAATCACCTGCAGAAAGAGGCGCCAGTGGGGGCCTCGCCCCACCGCTTGCCAAGCGCACACCTTCAGCTTGGCACGTGGGCCAGGAGAGGTGCAGTCCCCCGAGGGGGAGAGGCCCTGCCTTGGCCGCCCAAACGTCGGGGCTCTGCGTCGCCCCCACTTCCCTGCGCTGGAGCGATGAGCCTCTGCTTGCCCTGCCAGCGAGGGAGCCGAGTGATGCATCGCCAGCCAGCCTGCCTGCCGCCACTCGCGCATTAAAAGCAAAATTCGACTCGCTACCACGGTGTGATTGTTTTGTGCGTGCGGCCGGGGCGGTTTGGGGGGCAGCGGCTCTGCACCCGCAGCCACCTTTGACGTGGGGCTTTGCGCTCGGCGGCGGAGAGTTCAACTGCGGAACTCCCCTCCGTGGGAGGCAGCTTAGCCGGCGACGCCGTGGCGCCTTCTGCCTGCCAAGCAGGTGTCCTGCCGGCGGAGGGACAGATTGAGATGCCTCTGCCGCAACGGGAGCCTCTGGAGCTTCCTGCTGTGGACGCTTCTGGGAAGCCCTTCATTCTCTTCACACCTAAGGTGGCAGGATCTCCATCCTGCCGCGCTCTCCCCGCCTGGAAGGAAGCGGGAAGGGAGGGTGCGGTGATGCAGAAGCCGTCTTGGCGTTCCCAGGCTCGCAGGAACCAGCGAGGGGTCAGCTTCCCAAGCTCTTGGTGCCAACGGCTGGTGACGGAGGAGGATATCCTCTGGCCGGGGGAACTTTCCAGGCCCTGGGTCCTGAAGGGCTGGGGCAGGGGTGAGGGAGGCAGAAGGGGCCCTCAAGCTGCCCTCTGTGGGTAAGCGGGCTTCCCTTTCGGGGTTGGGTGCCCCTGGACTGGGCTTGCAGAACGATGGGATCTTGAGAAAATGCCACCAGAGTTTGATCTCAGTCTGTGCTAGAGATAGGCCTCTGTAAGTGAGATATGGGGCCGTTAAGAGCACAGGAGGTTCCTGCCAGGCCAGGGTTCAGATCTCCACGCGGGGCACAACGCTCGCTGGGTGACCCTCGAGCCAGTCACTTCTCAGGCCTACAACGCAGGGTTGTCGCAAGGGTAGCCTGGGGAAGGGAAGAGCCACACACACTCGTCTCAAGCTCCTTGGGAGGTGAGATAAAGGGGGTGCAAAGGTAAAAATAAATTAATTGGGCAGGGGTGGGGATTGATTCCGTAAAGTTTATACAGTTTTTTAAAATAATAATAACCCTAAAGCTGGTTTATGAGGAAGCCAAAGCAATGACTATCAATTGGGGGGGGGGATTTAAAACTTTGAACAAGATAATAATGGACGAAATGCTGATTGAAATGGGTTGTCGGCTTTCGGAAGACCCGGCAAGGCCTTGCGAGGGGAGCCCCACAGAGAGCGCATTGCAGCAATCCAGCCTTGAAGTAACCAGTTTTGGTGATGTCGAAGCAAAGCTCTCGGGTCGACGCATGGAAGAAGCAGTGTGGAAAGGGAAGTCTCGGAAGATTCAGTTGCCCCCCACCTAAACCCCCCCCCCATTAACAAAGGGGAAGAAAGTGAGTGTCGTAATTTACTGCTCTCTGCCGCCCAGGCTGCCCGTAAGAAACCCACCTTGCCCCTGAGAATTCCTGGCGACGGGAAGAATGTAATTTCTTTTGGCAAAAAGATTCCAGTTACTGTTGTGTGTGTGTGGTGGTATCTAGGTGACAGCAGAAAGGGGGGAAATTCACCAGTGGCAATGGCTCTTTTGCGTGAGTGAGGATGCCAAGGGGATTCCGGGCAGGGAGGGTCTCCGGGTCCTAGGGAGGTGAGCGGCCTGGCGCCGGAAACGTCCACAGGGAAAGGTCTGTAGAACGCCTGTATTGCATGCAAGAGACCCCAAGGCCAGTCGCCAAGGAAGGCTGGGAGTCCAAAACCATGGAGAGCCACTAATAATAATTAGTATTATTATTCTTTATACCGTGCCCATCTGGCTGGGTTTCCCCAGCCACTCTAGGCAGCTTCCAACAGAATATTAAAACTGCAATAAAGCATCAAACCTTAAAACCTTCCCTAAACAGGGCTGCCTTCAGGTGTCTTCTAAAAGTCAGGTAGTTGTTGATTTCCTTGGCATCTTGCGGGAGGGTGTTCCACAAGGTGGGTGCCACCACCGAGAAGGCCCTCTGCCTGGTTCCCTGCAACCTCGCTTCTCGCAGGGAGGGACCCGCCAGAAGGCCCTCAGGAGATGGACCCCGGTGTCCGGGGTGGAGATGCTCCTTCAGGTCTACTGGGCCGTTTAGGGCTTTCAAGGTCGGCACCAACCCTTTGAATTGTGCTCGGAAACGTCCTGGGAGCCAATGTAGGTCTTTCAGGACCGGTGTTATGTGGTCTCCACTCCCAGTCCCCAGTCTAGCTGCCACATTCTGAATTAGTTGCAGTTTCCGGGTCACCTTCAAAGGGAGCCCCACGGAGAGCGCATGGCAGTAGTCCAAGCAGGAGATAACCAGAGCATGCACCACTCTGGCCAGACAGTCTGCGGGCAGGGAGGGTCTCATCCTGCGTACCAGATGGAGCTGCCCTGGACACAGAACTGACCTGCGCCTCCATGGACAGCTGGGAGTCCAAAATGACCCCCAGGCTGCGCACCTGGTCCTTCAGGTGCTCAGTTGCCCCATCCAGGCTGCTCTGTTCCCAGAGGCACTCAGGCCACTTTCTGGCATGTGACCCCCCCTCCCGCCCCCTCCAATTGCGGGCTGGGTTCTCCTCCTGCCTCGGATGGCTGGCACCCAGTTGGTCAAGCCAGCTCCAGCTGGTTGAACTACGAACCGAGGGTGCAGAAAGGGCAATTGGTGCCCTTCGATTTACCCTTGCAGAGAACATAAGAGAAGACTCTGGGGTCCCATCCTGATCTCACAGGGGCCCCACCTTGAAGCCAGTAAGGAGGAGCTCAGCACAACAAGAACAACTACTCTCCCCACCTGCATTTTGCAGGAACTGGGATTATTGATTACGACTGATTAAACTCGTACACCGCCGGTCTCAGGGTGGTTCACAAGATAAAACCAGAATAAAAATAAAAACAAGAATGACCCCCCCCAACACATTCTTAAAGGGCATCGGATGTCAATCAGCCCCAGGCTTGCTTGAAGGGGAATGGGAAGACGGAACAAGCTTGGTCTCAGATGACCTGAACCAATGGATTCAAAGGGCGAGAAATGGGATTCCGACCTCCGAAAGTTGTTCCGAATGTTAGGAGCCGTTTGGCCGTGGGGCTGCCTCCTCCCTTGTTTTTATTTTTAATAGAGGTTGTATGGCCAGGGATTCTTTAGCTGAGATTCCTACACTGCCGGGGGTTGGGGTAGATGACCCCTGGGGGTCCTACAATTCTGCGATTCTATGCTAGTCCTATCTAATAATAATAATAATAATAATAATAATAATAATAATAATAATATCTTTATTGTCATTGCCCCCTCTCGGGGACAACGAAATTACAACGAAATTGCCATCTAGCAATGGCAGCAGCTTTTAATTCTGATTGGAGGCCCAAGGCTGCCATATATTATTATGATTATGATGATGATTATTATGATTATGATTATTATTATTATTATTCAATTCGTTTTTATATGGCTTTATATCTTCAAGGAAAAAAATCTCGAAGCTGTTGACAACACATATAATAATAATTATTATTTATACCCCATTACAATCCAGGATAAAAAATATAGCAACTATAACGTACGCAATCGAAGCAACATTAATGAACAGGAAACGAAAATATGACCGCAAAGGTTTCAAAACAAAACATTACAAAGGTCAACTACGGAAGAAGACATTGAACACGGCAAAGTCTACCCCCCCAAAAAACCGAACGTTTTGGAAGAAAACATTACAGGGCGCCATATATAAAATATGGGGGTTCCTGAACGATGGGCCGGGTTGGGATTATTTTAGCGCAGGTTGCAAACCGCAAAACGAAAGACAGGAAAACCAAACTGCATGAGTAATAAGACTGTTAACCCATTAAGCCAGAGGCTTCCCTGAATGTGGTTTAGCGGTGGAGAAATGGTTTTGAAGGCCCAGGTGACAAAAAATGTTATTTTATGTCTGCTACTACTGCGGCCCGAGTTTCGTTAGCCGCCAAATGGAAAAGGAGCGAGGTCCCAACCAAAGAAGAACGGCAGCTTAAATTGACGGAATATGCGCAGCTTGCAGACTTAACATACAGAATAAGAGAACCAGAAGAACATATGTTTAGAGAAAACTGGATTTTATTGAATATATGGGAAATAACTGCACAGCTGAAGACGCTGGCAGCATTAAGATAAATTCAACAGTGTAAGTAAGCTTTGATGGATGCAATAACGGAATACCGAATGGTACAGTTTTTGTAAAATATGCAGGGATTTATGATATGTAAAATGGAAAGAGGAGAAGGGACGTCATTGACAGCTGAAGGATGTAAAAAGGAGCATTTTAAACAGAAGCTGAAAATTTAATAAAAATTGTGTAGAAAAAAAGAAAATGGTTTTGAAGAGGAACGAGCGAGGGCCCTTGAGTTTAGCAGGGAGTGTCTTGAGGGGTTAATAACGCGATAAGGCGAAATTAATAAATAACCCGGTTCTGGGTCCAGGGCGCACGGTGGCAGAGAGGTTCTGAGTCATGCCCGGCTGATGGCATGCAGTCCAGTATTTTGGATGGTCATGTGGCAGGTTGGGCAACAGGTTGGGTTTATGGTTAATAGCTTGCATTCTTCTCATATAATTAACCCGCTCCCAGACAGCCTGGCAAGGGGGGCAGAGTCAGGATTTGCCCAACCGGGCACCTTCCAGATGTTCTGAACTACAACTCCCAGCTGTGCCGGGCAGGTGGGAGTTGTAGTTTTGTTTTGTTTTTAAATTAGATATTTTGTGGTTTTATATCTTGATTTTATTCTGTGAACCGCCCTGAGACCCCCGGGTATAGGGCGGTACAGTGGTACCTCGGGTTACATACGTTTCAGGTTGCTTACGCTTCAGGTTACAGACTCCGCTAACCCAGAAATAGTGCTTCAGGTTAAGAACTTTGCTTCAGGATGAGAACAGAAATCGTGCTCTCGCGGTGCAGCAGCAGCAGGAGGCCCCATTAGCTTCAGGTTAAGAACAGATTCAGGTTAAGAACTGACCTCCGGAACGAATTAAGTACTTAACCCGAAGTACCACTGTATATAAATTTAACAAATACAGCGGTCCCTTGGTTCTCAAACGCCTTGGTACTTGAACGACTTGGAACCCAAACACTGCAAACCCGGAAGTAAGTGTTCTGGTTT